GAACAAGAGAGCCGAGCAAATTCCACGGTGGGAAGCAACACTGGAGGGTAGGTGAAAAAGTGTGTTTCCACGCCATGCTGGCAGTTAGTGGAGTCTGAAGATGGAGGCTCTGGAGACTGCCCATGAGCACACACTCTAGTTGGCAAGATAGCTGCCCGCTCGGGCAGTGGTTAACAATCGGACCATGTTCTGTGGGAATGTGCAGCTAGGTAAACAGGTGCCAGCGGGAGCCGTGTTCCTTGCTGCTTGGGCAGGTGTGTGCAGACAGAGAGAAAACTGGTGGGAAATGTCTGAAGTGCACGCTGATGAGCGTAAATAGCTTTGTACATGGAAGACACTATTATTCATTTATGTTGTAGATTATTTTCACATTTTGTTAAACATAAGTTGGGGTATGGACTTAAGTGGACAGAGAATTCACAAGGCCAGAACACTTTGTGAACCATGGTGGCTCATGCCTTTCATCTCGGTACTGCAGAACTAGAGGCAGACGGATAAGGAGTTCAAGGCCAAAGTCAGCTACATGGCAAGTTTGAGACTACCCTGAGCTGTATGAGACCAGGCCTTACACAACACCACACTCCTCTCTCTCTCTCTCTCTCTCTCTCTCTCTCTCTCCCTCCCTCCCTCCCTCCTTCTCCCCCTCCCTCCTCCCCATGAACAGTCATTTAATTTGTCCAGGCAAATTATGTTCTGTGGTCTATAGAAGCTGCAGAATTCAGAACAAAGGAAAAGCAAAGCAAACGATGTACTTGTCAAATAGTCTGAAAACGTAATTAACCATCATATGTGATACCAAAGTGCAGAGCAGAGGGTGGATCTACTCTTCTTGAGCTACTACTAACTATGTAGAAGGTTCTATCCTAAATCTCCAGCACGGTACAGACCAGCCATGTGAAAGCTGGAGTTGTTCTCTCTCTTTTTTTTTTCTCAAGGTGATAATCTTGATGTAGAGTAGACATTAGCAGAACTTCAAGGTTACATCATTTCCAAGTGCTTTTAACAGCTCTTAATTAAAACATAAAATCTTTCAATACTGTTATGTCTACCTGTTTTAATGGAAGATATTTTTCATATGTTCAGAAATTAATGAGAGAAGTCCACTCCGAAAAAGAACCCTTCAACGATTCCATAAACTGATAAAGCTTGATAACCACCTATACAGAATTCAGAGTTCTGACTCACCATTAACTTACCTCAGTACAAAAACAAATAATTTCTAATAGATCAAAGCTTTGCCCTGGTTAAATCAAACTTCCTGCCTATTAACAGGCATGAAATACTGGAAATGATTCTTGTGCCAATACTGAATGAGTCTGCTCCAATCTTTTGAAAATAAAGCAAGATACAAACACAGACATGGTTATGAACATACCATCGCAGGGTCTGCACAGACATGCTTATGTATGTACTGTCGCAGGGCCTACACAGACATGCTTATGTATGTACTGTTGCAGGGCCTACACAGACGACATAGCTATGTATGTGCCATCACAGGACTGTCTTTAAGAGTTAAATAACAAAATCAACTATGTGGATTGATTGTAAGATAGAAATGTGGGCAACTGTTGTTCTCAGGGCCTATCACATGCCAGGAGTCCATACATTTTTCTTGCTCAGAGTCATGTCCACACTTTCTGCCCTTACATGGATAGCACCAGTGTATTCTGGAGTTATTTGTTTCCATAACATTTCCCCTTTTACATCTGAGCAGCCTTCTGCCCTCCCTAAATGCCATCTGTATATACAAAGGCTTGTTAATAGATGGAGACTTACGGTGCAAAAAAAAATGAGCATCACAGTCTCCTATCCTTTAATGCTCCCATTTATTATATTCAAATGAAATGAAATATACCTTTGATTATTTGATCTGTTATTCTTTTGACATTTACTTGTGTACATGACAACAAGAAGAAAAAAAACCAAGGTACCTTTGGGCAACATCTGATCTGCCAGGAAATTCCTCTTGCTGTGATGTGTGGGCGGGGAGAAGGCGGCTGATGTGATCCAGATGCTCACACTGCCCTCTGCCAATAGTGCAATGCGCGCTCTCCTCGAATGCCCAGATGGTGACCCCTCTGGCATTGTCAATGTGTCCCATAAGCCAGGTTCCTTCTCTGCGCATGCATGCCTTGATGTCACTTAGGGTATGCTCTTATTGCTGAGACACGGCATCCTACATATGAAAAGGAGGAGTTTTAACTGCTCTGGAAATTGATAAAAAATCTTTCAAATTGCTATGAAATGTGACCCTCATTTTGAAACCCTCCTCATACAATTATTCAATTCATAATGGGAGCTTTTACTTTTCTCTTGAGAAAATATGGTTCTGGATATATAATTCAAAGACAGTTGAAAAGCCAGTATTTTCACACTTGCACTTGGTGGTGATACTCTGGCTCTACTTTCATTTCTGATCTCTGAAGCCTGCTGTTAAGAATTATGCCTGAGCCAGGTTCGGTGGTGCACAGCTGTAACCCAGTGCTCTGGGAGGCAGAGGCAGGTGGATCTCTGTGAGTTCGAGGCCAGCCTGGTCTACAAAGTGAGTCCAGGACAGCCAAGGCTACACAGAGAAACCGTGTCTCTCTCAAAAAAAGGAGTCATACCTGTACAGGGAACATTGCTATTTGTTGCTGATTAAATCTAGGCATTACAAAAACAGAAAGTTGGGGTCTTCCACAAGTGGCTCCTTATTTCTTAAGATACTTTTTACTGTTATTAACTATGTAAATGTGTGAGGAAGGAAGGACCCTCTTGTTGCCCCTACAGAGGACCCAGGTCAGGCTCCCAGCACTCACATGGTGGCACAAAACCATCTGCAGCCTCAGTGTCAGGAAAGCTAATGCCACTTCCAACCTCCAAGTCACCAGACGTGCACACATATGTACAGGCAAAATACTCGTGCAATAACATAAGAAAATGAGCCTTTAAAGGTTTTTAAAAAGAGTAAAGTGAATAAAATAAATGAGAAAAAAATTTAAAAGGAACAGATTTTTGTTTCTTTTTTTTAAGATTTATTTATTTATTATGTATACAACATTCTATTTGCATGTGCACCTGCATGACAGAAGAGGGCACCAGATCTCATTAGAGATGGTTGTGAGCCACCATGTGGTTGCTGGGAATTGAACTCAGGACCTTTGGAAGAGCAGCCAGTGCTCTTAACTTCTGAGCCATCTCTCCAGCCCCAGGTTTTTGTTTCTTATAAACGCCATGTATAGAGGGAATGTAAAAGGTGAATTCTGAGAAAGATGAAGGACACAAAAACAAATACAAAACACAAAAGCAGATGATAGGATTTTGGAAGATTTCCATCTCCCTTAACACCAGAAGTAATAGACCTTAAAAGACAGAAACTGCAAAATTCATGATATATAACAAATGACCAAGAATATAGAAAACATTCTTTAGGATTTGACAGTTTTTACTGATAACAGCAAAATTCTGCAGTCACCATGGTGAGCACCAACATCTGTGGACCTTGATCAAGTCTTGGTTATCTTGATTGCAGGCCCTAATGAAAACAGTTCTACTTTCTAAAGTAAGGCTTGTTTCCTCCCTCACACGCATGCACACACACGTATACCACATGCTCACACACACACATGCATGCACACACAAGTCTACCATGCCCACAAATACAGTGGGAAATGCGGTTACCTGCCTAATTAGACAAGAATAAAGAATACACACTCTTCTCTGAAGTGTCTGAAAAGCAGAACTGACCAAAATTTTTTCACCAAAACTCTCCAGATTTTTTTTTTCTCTCTGTAGGCATATTTTTCAAGTGCTTGTGAAAGAATGCAACCTTAGTACTTTCTGAAAAGTGGTTGGGAGCAGTTCTGTTTCTCAGACTGGAGGAGGTGGGGAGGAGACTTAAAAGCCAGGCAAATTCCTCATTGTTTGCTTTTTTCCTCACGTCTTGAAGTCTTGTCCTGTCCTGTGGTTTGTTTATCAACCTCAAACTATCACAACCAAGACCTTATGTAAGGGAGCCACAAATTCACACAGACATTTCCCCTGAGCTCTTCTGTGCTCTGGATGATGTGTGTGTGTGTGTGTGTGTGTGTGTGTGTGTGTGTGTGTGTGTGTGTTTCTCTAGCGACCCTTCCCACCATGCTGGGAGTGCAATGAACAGACACGGGGCTCTTCACTGCCAAGCCAGTCAGTGGGGCTCTGAGAGGCGATCCTAAAATGTGGTTGTTCCCCCTTGGAGACGAAACCCGTTGGCGGTTCTTTGTAACCATTCTGAGTAGATAAGAGGTTGATGCTGTGAAATGTAGAAGACCAAAGGTCGTACTTTTCCAAGTCTGCTTTTGACAAGGGAAGTGGCTAGCCGACAGGCCTGCTCTGAAAGTACAACTGTTGCGTAAGTAACCGCAGCAACCAGTGACCTACAGCGGCTTAGTCTGTCCTGAGCCCATGTTGTGGAGGTGGGCCCAGCCGATGTACCCTCTGGAGGCCACCTGGACTCTGGTCACTGGTACAAACACAGAGGGCACCAGTAGCTACGGAGGAGAAAGAAGCAGCAGCACAGGGAAGGACCTAACGGAGGCAAGAGAGCGGAGTGTAGAACTCGTGGTCCGGGTAGATGTCCCAGAAGCCTGTGAGTCACCGACCACCGCTTCCTCCATAGCCTTTCACGTGGGCATGTGTCAGCAACAGCGGGCCCTGGGCTCCATGTAGCACAGTGTGGTTTTCCGAGCACTTTCTTCCCGAGGTTGTGTTTGATCTCTGTGTCATCCTGCAGGGTAGGAAAGCAGTGTGGACCTCCGCACCCCCAAGTTTTACAGCTACAGTGATGCGGTCCTATCCGAAAGCCCTTCACTGCTGAGGCCCTACACCGCTTTGTCTAAAGCAGTCAGGTGAAGGAACAGGCAGGCAGGGGCGTTCCGGAGCATTCCCGTGGGAGCCCTCGGGTGACTGAGCCAATCCTCCATGACTTCTCTGCAGAATTAACTCACAGCTGGCAGGTGACCCATTGCTACGGAATAGACGTGATGGCGACGTTGCTTTCCCTTAATCCTTTAGTGAGTGCTGGAGGTCCCAGGACTGGCGTCTAGTCAGTAATCACCAGCCTCACACAGCAAACTGGGGTGCCATTCAGGGCCCCTGTCATTGAAGGAGATTCCGTTGGTCTCTCTGGCAGCTGGTGACTTTGCTGCAGATGTGCCTTGTCCCTTTGTACCTCACGATAAAGCTGTACTGGTGGCGGTTTCTGTCTATGAGGGGAGGCTCCTCTGCTGTTATTAGTTACACCCTCTTCAGAGCACCCAGAAACCTCTTTCAGGGCAAACACCACGGTAGATTTTCCCAGTCAGTCTTTCCTCCTGGTCCCTTTTGCTTCACTTTGAGTTTAAGTTTTTATTTGGTTGGTCTTGGGTTTTGTTTGTTTTATTTTGAAACAAGAATTCACAATATAGGCTAGATATATGCCTAAAACTTATAATACCCTTGGCCTTGGGCTCTCCCAAAGCTAGAATTAGTATTTTAATCTTTCCTAGTAGTTCAGATGATAAAACCAAAGTCCTAAGTGGGTAAATGGTATTGAAAATATTTTATAGGCCTGTCCTACCATGCCTGGCTTCATCTCTGTCTTGTAAACATTCAGAAGTACATTTAATTTCCCTTTTTCGTGGAGAGTCTACCCATTTCTGGAGATCCTTTAACCTTTGTTTACCTTTGCAGTAAAGCCAGCTAGAGACTGAGTACCATCCTGTTAGTTCACAGACCCTGTGTATGTAATGGCCGTTCACACTTGCCTCCCAGTAAAGTTCATAACTGCAGACTTTACAGAGGCAACAACAAATGGGAAGTGGAACTACCTTTTTCCTCTTAATCTTTAGAAGACTGTTTGCATGTTTGTTTTTGTTTTCTTCTCCTGCAGGTTGTGTCAGGAGCACTTTAGAACAGGACAAGGGCTGAACGTACCTACCACACAGGGAAATACAGAAGCATGTCTAACCCATGCTTAACACCGCGGGGGCTGGCGGCCTCTTGAGAGTTAGTGTCATGACATCTTCACAGGTCTCACAGCTCATTTCACAGGGGCTCAGACGCCTCCAGTTTTGCTCTTGCTCTGTGAGTGGGGTGCAAGTCCTCACCGAGGAACCTCTGCTGCGAGCGAAGGAGAGCGTGCGCAGTGCGCAGAGGTCAGGAGACGATGGCAAAAGTTTACCCTTTCAGAGAAAAAAAGATCAGAGGCTTCAAGGAAATATTTTCATGACCATTTCTCCATTTGTGGATTTGGCTTTGTCCTGTTAAATACTAAGACAGATAGAACAGTAAGTTTTCCTTTTTAGCTTGGCAAAGCAGAAGTATACAATGTGAGATGTTTAAAGAAACATGATGATAAGCTTGAAATTCTCTCTTGAGGAAGACAATGAGTTTTAGGCCAGCCTGGGCTACGTAGTGAGTTCCAGATGAGCCTGTCTCAAAGACAAAACAAGGCAGCTCCATGAAGCAGGTGTGCAGGTAGTTAACCGAATTCCACACTGGGAAGAGCTTGGGCGCAGTGTCAGGAGACAATTTAGACTAGCCAGATAGGGGTCTTATAAAGCCTTTAAAAGTCCATAAAAAGTAGACAGATGGCTGCCTTTCTCCTGACTACCAAATGTTACAAGCTTTTTAAGATTTGTCAGAGCACTTTGAGTTTCAGAACCCAAATGTACTTAGGTTCATCCTGGAATACAATCAGTACAAGTAGTTCACTGGCAACTCGAGCATTTTATTTTCCCACGGCATAAAGAATTCCCTAGTTCAATGCAGGCTCCTGAGCAGAAACACTTCACCACAGGAATTGTCCAAATGTGCTTCGCTGGGCTCCATGGCCCATACATCTCAAATGACCAGGTTACCATGCTGTCCGGGTCTCACGCCCATGGCGGTCCCTTTCAACATCTGCCTGCATGGGCTCCATAGAACCCAGTTGCTGCCCCAAAATGAGGCTTTCCCTGTGTTCTAAAGCACAGTTTTTAAAATGTCTTCACTAGAGTAATTTTTACATGGCCCCAGATAGATGGGTATATAAAATATGTGTGTGAATTAAACATTTACTAATGATAAGCTGTAAAGTTTATTTTAAGGTAATTATTTGCTTGAGAAGGTGGTAGGATTGCAATAAGCAGACAATTCAAAATCTGAAGGGAAGCAGGAGGAAGCCAGGTAATCCTCACTCTCCAGAAGCTGAGGCAGGAGGATCTCAAGTTTCAGATTAGCCTGGCTGCATACTGAGGCCCTATCTTAAAAGAACAAAAATATTTTAAGCTCCTCAACCCAGAAATAAATACAGAAAGATTGTATTTAAACAGTGTTTGGAAAGACAGAGTGCTTTTTTCACATACTCTGTGCTACCTCCAATTTCTACTTCCGCAGACTGGTCTACAAATGGTTTCTGCTAAGCTACAAGACCAGCTGTGCACTTGGTATAGTTGGCTATCTGGCCATCAAATTTACAATGTGTGGACTCAGTCTAATACTGAAGTAAGTATTATTACTTAGGAGACAAATATCTCTAAGCACCTTCTTGGGTCATTCACCTGGCCATGCCCTTCACTCAGCTGGAATCACTTGGCCCTGCCAACTTCCAGGTACACATTTTCCATAGCAGATATCTACATGTGGCTTTATTGTTGGAGGGCCCACGAGTAGAGCAAGAAAGGACACCTTACAAAACACAACTTTTCAAAAATCGAGAGCTCTAAAGAGTTCCCCTGCGAACTGAGACAATCACCATTGAAAGTGAGGCTCCGAGCGGTGGCACACACCTGTGATCCCAGCACTTGGGAGACAGACGTAGGTGGATCTCTGTGAGTTCAAGGATAGCCTGGTCTACAAAAGGAGTCTAGGACAGCCAAGGCTACAAAGAGAAACCGTGTCTCAAAAAAACAAAACAAAATGAAAATGGGTCTCTAGTGGTATAGAATAATCGACTACGCTGTGCTCCCTTTTCATGAAATCGTAGTGTCCATAGCCCCCTTTAAACATCTTGTTTCTTAATATCCTTAGAACTGACCTGACCATCGCCAAACCCACTAGCTTTTATGATGACTGAGCACTTAAAATGTGAAATAAGATGCATCTTATATGGAAACTACACTGGAGTTCAGAGACAGTCTGATGAGAATAAGGATGTGTGTTGATTACACGTTGAAAGAGAACACGTTGCTGGGATACATGTCACCTGTCCCTGTTTACTTTTGAATGTGGCTGCTGGAAAATTTAAAATCGTAGGCTCGAATCACTTAATCGGGGTGGTGCGCTTTGAGAATTGTGTTAGGAGCTTCACAATGTGTATCCCTCACAAAGTATCGTCACCTAAGCAGACTAACATCCTCACAGACGCAGCCAAATACTGCTGCTAGTTACACAAACTGTGGTAGAATACTGTGGGGCCATCATTCTATCCAAGGCCCATCACTGCAGGAAGGTCGTTACTCAGTTCCTGGCTGTGCGCTCCTGCCTCTATTTCCATTTCGCATCACTGATCTTGAGCGGCAGGGGAAAGTGGGTGCTTAGAAACAGAAATGAAAGAATATCAGAAAAGCCGAGTCTTGTGAGAGAATAAACTAGGATAGGTAATCCTGGTCTGTAGTCAGAGCTGCTTCTCTATTAAGAAGGTGGCTCAGGAGTTAATGAGGCCGTGGACCGGGCCTGTGCCGTGGAAGGGGATTTAGGAGGAATCACACAGCTATGGAAAGCAAGCCGCTCAAATAAAAATTCCCCAGATTATCCCTCATACTGAAGTCACCTCAAGTCTCTGGGACCACAACAAAAATTAAAAAGCAGGGACTGGCAACCCCTGAGTCATAAAATAACAGGGAAGTGGCTGAACAATCGGCCCTGTGCTGCCATGGGCACCTCCTCTGGCGCACAGCGATCCGATTTTATAGGCCTTTCACAGGACTTCCAGAGGCAGCTCCTAATGCTGCTGCAGAGCAGAACAGGAGTAACCGTGCCAGCCAAACCCTGCTAGTTTAAGACGAGAAAGTCACAGACTACGTTTTTTTAGTACACGTCTCTAATGCTTTATTTTTGTGACTCTTAAAATATTTGAAAAGATTTTTATGAAACACTTGGGATTCTAGTTGTTCCAAGACCATTACTGCTCAGATTTTTAGACCTTTAACCATGAACTTTCCTACAAGAAGACAGGCCAAAAACTTAGCCCTTCTGGCTGGAGAGGATTAGCTTTTCATTACTAATGGCGGGGAATATTCCACTAAGATTCTCCAGTGTGAAGCCATGAGTTTCTTACTGTGGTTTTAATGGCTAAGATGATGCAGACGTACGGCTCTGGTGTGGAGAGAAGGCAGAGCTGATCTCCCCCAGTGTCCTAATCCTAGTAAATACATCGGCTGTGTCCTGAAAGAATGCATGGCCATCTGCTTTGGAATTCCCAGTTCATATAACATACACACACAGAGACACACATGCATGCACACACACACACACTTTTTTTTCTAAATGTGAAAAGTCTGTACTCTGTCCTTTTTAAATTAATGAGCACACAAAGCTGCTCAGAAAAGCAGGGCATGGTACTGAGTGCCTGTAATCCCAGCACTTGGGATCCTAGCAGGGAGCTCAAGAACTCTCGGCCTGGCCTCACTCTGGTCACACAGAGCTCATGCAACTGGTCTTGCCTGATAAGCGTAGCTCTCACCCTTCATCGAAGATTTTTGCAGCTGACAGGCACTGTTACAGAAACCTGTAACTGGTCAAAATGCACCTGACTGTGGGGAGCACACCCCAATCCGTGAATCTCCCGTGGGCCACAGGGTCTGAGCTCAGAGCACCTCAGGAGAGGGGCAGGAGGGCTGCAAGGAGCAGCAGTCTGTGGCAGGTGGTGCCTTCTGCAGGCAGGAAGCCTCAGCAATGCTGTCCCCTGTGGATGGGGGAAGTCCCACCAGGCTCTATTCAGATGAAGAAATGCGGGCGATCAGTGGCCACCGAGAAAGGAGCCACCCTCCCCACGGGGAGTCCCTGGGAGGTTATCCCATCCCAAGTGAGTAACCACAGATATGTACCGGTGACACTGCGTGGACTTGGTGCGTGTGTGAAACAAGAGAAATTAAAGAAGGGATCACGAGTTTGAAGGGAGTGGGGGTGACACAGGAGGAATCACAGGAGGAAAAAACATGTGAGTGGAAAGTATATAGAACACTGATTGTGTGTGAAATTCTTTTTTAAAAATAATTAAGCCAGAGAAAGGGGAAATATGAGTTCTAGGTCAGCTGGGGCAGCATAATGAGCCACTTCTCAAATAAATCAGTAAATATTAAAAGTAATCAGACCGGGGTTCCCGCAGCGGCCCGCAGCTCAGTAGTGAGCTCACAACCTCACCCTCTTCCTGCACTCAGAGAAGCCTGGCAGGCCACTGCTGGCACTGGAGAACATTTTACACATAAAATGCACCAAATACGCAAGGGCTAAGGTGCATGAATCAAGATCAGGGCTAACTGTATGGGGGTTATTGTCTCATTTGCCTTGTATGTTTTTAAGATCTTTCTTTAAGACATGGGAGGAGACTGTCACAGGGAACCCTAGTGCATTTCAAAGATAACCCAACTTGCAGAACCAAGGCTCTTGCTGTGTGGCAGCTGCAGCATGGAAAGCAAAGGGCATGAAGACCTGAGCTTCCTTCTCGCCTACTATGTGATGTCTGTCTAGTCTCCGTGCTTTCATGTGCGAAGAAGGGATGACATCTATTCCAGACTTTTTATTCTTAGGCAAGTCAGAATATTTGCAACCATCCTACAGAGCCCAGAGTCTATGGCGGAGGTCCTCACCTTTGGGGTACCTGACAGCTGCCACAGTGGGGCTCCTTTCACAGCTGCAGCACACATGAACTCAGGAGCATTTGAGAGAGGCTATCAGGACATCAGAAATCCCCCAGGTGGCTCAAATCTCTGCTTAGGTCTAGGAACTGTTTCTCTAATGGCTGACAGTCTCAGCTACCCTCAGAAGCCCTTGGGTTCAATGGACCATCAAACTATCACTCCACAGCTGCCATTCTGAGACTGGGATTCCATCCCAAGATTCTGGGGTACCTGGGATGGGGCGTCATCCCGAGACAGACTTTGTAGGCTGCCCAGGCCTTCCTATGTCGAGCCAAACCTTGGCACTGGTTAGAACAGGCTTGAATTACAGACAAGCATTGCATGACTCTGCCAGTCCCTCGTCACTGCAGTTTCACTTTCTGTGGCTCTAGTGATTCATGATATACAAAGATTAAATACTTTAAATGGAAATTTCTGTAAATAAATAGTAACCCCAAGTTTCATAATGTTCTCAGCTCAGAAGCCTATGAAATCCTTCACCTCTGTGCTCCATCTCACCTGACACACGAATCACCCTTTGCCATGCATCTGTTCCCCACCTGTTAGCCAGTTAGTAGCCAACTCAGCTATCAGATCAGCTATCATCGCATTATGATGCTCGTGTTCAAGTAACCAGATTTTCATAAACGTTGTTCTCAAAGCACAGATGTTTTACTACACTGTGTTCATTATTTCATCGTTGATTTTTTTGAACTTCTTACTGTGCTTAATCTGTAGATGAAACTTCGTAATAGATACGTGTGTGCATGTATTGGAAAACCCACATCATACATAGGGTTCAGTCCTGTCCAAGAGTTCATTCATCCATGAGCTCGGAGCATAACATACAAGGACAAAGGTGTCATCAAAGATTCCTTTGTCCACTGACACTGAGTGGTACAACTTGAGGAAGAGAACTTTAGTCTCTAGTTTTAAAAAGAGAAAATAAAACAAAAAAAATCAAGTTATTGAACAAGTGCATACCCACAAAGCCCTGTTAAATATTATGGTAATATTTCCCAAGCTCCATATCTCCCTTACCCAACCCAAATGACTCATTCTTACTTCCTTCTATATTGCTTTTCTTCATAGAATCAAATCTAGAGAGTCCATGGATTTGGGGATTGGATCCTTGTTCTATGGCCTTTACTATGGGATAATGGCTCAAGATTTGCTGAGATCTGCTCAGACTATATGGCATCTACCATAGGGTAGTGTGTTTTCTTCATTTGAAGCCCTTTGTGATGGGGGAAGAATCAGCCCCACCTTCTATATCTGTGTCACTCCCTTCTGTACTGTCACGGCTCTCCAGACTTATTGTTCCCTGGAGTCTCATTCTGTCAAAAGCTATTCATTGCTAATTAATTAAAAACTACACTCCTGGGGTCAACAAGATGGCTCAGTGGAAAAGGCATTTGCTGCTAAGACTAATGACGAGAGTTCAATATCAGGAGTCCGTATGGCGGAGGGAGAGAGCTGACTCCCGCAAGTTGTCTCCCGACCTCCACACAGAAGACGTGTGCCCATCCACCCCATCACCACACGATAAATAAGTTTTAAATGTAAAAAATACATTCTGTATGTAGAAGTATTGGGAATTGTGTCATTTTGTAAAATAAAGTGTTACTTATTTGAGTTATCATAACTGCAATATTTTAATTGCCAACATTTAAAGAGTTAATTAAAGAAGGGCCATTAAAAAAAAAACTTATTTTTGACTGAAATGCCATCTACTAAAATAAAAATAACATTTAAGAGGCTAGGATATAGACAAGAGTAAAGCACTTGATTAACACATATGAAGCCCTGAGCTGACTTCTTAGCTATGAAAGGAAATAAGCGTATTTGATGTTACATAAAACATTCATGTATCGCAGCAACTCAGGGTAATCTTACCACAAAGGCTAGTCATCAGCGATCGCCTGTGTCTGGCATCTCTGAACACACACTTCGGGCTGCATGACCCTGAGAATTTCCATCCTGGTCCTCCTGTGTCCTATGCCCGCCTGAAGTGGGGAATGTGTAAGTGGCAGAGGTGAGGTTCTGGGCTCTTCTTACCCCTTGGTGGCTCTGGACTTACATGGACATGAACTTGACTTCCTCTGCACCTGTTGTCCCCCCTGCCTTCCCGGGCTCCACCGGTCCTCTCCTGTTGTTACCTCGGGGACAAGCGCAGAAAACCGCACTCCTCATAATGGTCACTGTGTGTACAGGAGGCAACATGTTCCCTCTCACTTCCAGGAAAACCCAGACATCCTGTCTCTAAGAAGCTCACCAATGCCTCTTGAGCTTGTTTATGAACATGAGAGGAAGAGAGAGATGGGCTGTGTTCTGTTCTCCCCAGGAAGAAGAACTTCCAGGGTGGGACAGCCCAGCCAAGAAGACCAACTCCCAGACTTCTTACCGAGCCCACCCCACAGTGCTAAATGCCATCCTCGTCCTTCATCTTCATTCTAGGTCCAAAATCTATTCTAGAAAAACAATGTTTTATAGTCACCAGTTTAGATGCGCGCACACACACACATATGTACAGTATATAGGTACGGGCGTTCCGTGTATACACAAGGTGCACACTTGCGCGTGTGTGTGAGCTGAGAGAGGAGCAAACTTGTTTTTCCCATGCTGGTGTCTGAGCGTCACACAGATCAGGTAAGTCAGGGTGGCTGGGAATGGAGCCAGTGCATCTGCTTTGTTAGAAACAAAACAAAATAAAAACCTCCCAAGAAAAAGGAGTACGCTATTAAACCATCCACAAATGGATGGGCCTCATAGCATGTTTCTGTGGAGAGGGGCCGATCCCATGTCCACGACATTTCAGAAAAGGCTATAGAGACGCTAAGCAGATCAGTGCTTGCCAGGGGCTTAGGGACTGAGATGGCTGACATGAGGGAGCACGGGGAGACTTTCATAGCAGGAGGACTGTTGTTCAACACTAGACTGAAGGATACATCATGACCTTTTCAAACATCCACAGAACTCGTGGGATCTTCTTCAGGCATGCAAACTTTTTAAAAACTATTTAGGAGGTTAGAGAATCCCAAGATTAAAAAAAAAATAGTGTGATGAAAGGAATCTAACTGAAGTGTGTGTGTGTGTGTGTGTGCACTCTTATGCTGACCTTAAACTGAGTGCAGAGTATAGATCTATAAGCAGAGAGAGCTGTACAGAGGACCATACAGTCTGTGATATGTGGTGACTGTCGCCGGAGCTAATAGATTAATGACTCTGATTGTTCTGTATGTGCATTCTGGAATGGAGCCACTAAATAAATGGAGAGTTGATACTAGACTCTGAATTCCTCCTTATCAGAACAAGAAATTACAGATAAGAAGGAGACGTGGCCAAAGTACCCATGTCGCAATGGGCTCGAATTGGAGCCATCAATATAATTCCCGCTCTGTTACGTGCAAAACATCTATAGACTTGTGTATAGGCACAAGTTACTATGCACAGATGCGTTTCCTCTTCCTGTTGGCTAAGAGATCCTGAAGCAATGGCAGCCCAGTGCCCGGACCCTGATTTCTCATGGCATCCTATAATAAAAAGAGCCAGACTTCTTGGAGAAACGGGTGTTTATAGATCGGGGTAAGAAATACTCAGTATGAGCCTGGAGCACCCTCAAAGGTAAGAGAGTGAAAACAGAGCAACACCACGGTGACAGGGAGGTGGGGGGGGCCTCCAATGCACACAGCTGGTAGCCGGCAGAAGGGTGCTAGGTTATTACCTGGAGTACCAAACAAATAACCCGGAAGTTCAGATTGATATAAATAATAATTGAACAAGTCGTCCAGGATAGTAGATGGATAGCAGAACGCCTCTTCACTGATACAACACACCACTTTCATGGAAATTGCTGTGGTTGAATTTGCTTGTTGAAACACTAATCTAGATGTAGCTATGAAGGTCTTTAAAAATTAATTAATTAAAAAAACACCTTGCGGACAATTTTATTAGAGTCTAAAATAAAACCCCCAAGGCAGGCAAGCTGTAAATCTCAGCAGGTGCCCAGAATGGAAAAAAGTATGAGGAAAAAAAAACATGCCACCTTGTCTAAGTCTGTATGGAGATCAGCCACGTCATGGACAGGCAACATTATGGCAGAGAGGGAGCTTTGGAGAAAGAGTGGGGAGCCGAAAGCGGCAGAGGAGACGTTTAGAATACAGGTAGGAAGAAGGAGAGGAAGAGTGGGCTGATAGGAAGACCTTCCATGGGGTTAGAGACCTTCACAGGTGGACCTGCACTAAACAAAGGACTGAAAGAACGCGGAACCTCGGAGAAAGAAGCCTTCCTCCGGGAAGCGACATGGACCCGTGCCATCTTAGCCAGGCTGCCCTGTGGGTTTTTCGACTTAGCTCCCCAGACTCGTCTGCCGGGTCTTTCAAACAGCTCTCTTACTAACAGACAAGTCCACTCTTTGTACTACCTCTGAATATTTTCTTTTACTCTAAAATGGATAAATGCTGTGTTCAAAAACAACTGTTTTTCACCTCATGAGGATTTCTGATGTGTTGATCAAAGTCTCACCTGCACCTCTGGAAAATGAAGGTTTCCTGAGTTCAAATTCTAAGCGGGTTGTTTTCAGGAGTTGATCAGGCTGAGCACGCAGACGTGGGAGTCTTGAAAAGGAAGTGCACGGCTTTGCTGCAGGGCTCTGAGTGGAGGATGCTGGGAGGGAAGGTCCCGGCCTGCAGAGCTCCACAGCTGCCCTGTGCAGAGGTTCTGGACCGCTGTAACTGCAATGCACTCTAGGTTTGTTGGCGCTGACGGGCCCTCCCTCAGTGCCCCTGAGCTGGCCCTGCAAGAAAAGGCTTCTCAGATACTACTCCAGCTCAAAAGCAGTGAAGGCCCCAGGCCCCGGGCGCTGTGCGGCAGTGTCTGAGGTGGTCATCCTGTGTGCCCTCGATGGCAGGGGCCCTCCTCGCCACCAGTGTTCTTTCCTTTCCCTGGTGGTTCTACAGGGAGAGCGGGATCCCCACGCCGTTTTGGGGGCAGACGAAGAAGGGCTCGTGGAAGACACCCACCCGTTTTCATGCAGCCACAGAACCCCTTGATGGATTTCCCGAAGCTTCTGGCTTCCCATCCGTGCCTTCTGTCCCCACTTTCTCTGCCCTGCATAACCCCCACTCTCGAGCCCCAGAACTTTGTCCTATGATCCCTGCTGAATAATGAATGGCTGATTAAAATGAGCCTCCCCTTTATAGTAATTTCCTTTTTTAAAAAAGGCTTCATTCCACATGGGCGGGAAGGCAGTTCCATTTGAGCAGGGTGCTGCCTGGAGAAGCTGATAGAAGCCGTAAGTGAGAATAAAGGAGCAGAGACAGAAGGGAGCAAATGAGAAAAAAAAGAGTGAGGAAAAGAGCCAAGTATAGTGTTAGGGTATCACTCGATGCCAGAGGCCTTGTATTCATGCCAGCACCACAAAGCCCTTTGGAGCATGTCAGATGCAGGGAAGAATGCCAGAGTGTTCGTGTAGAATCTGTGTCTAAACCTTGGTGGAATAACGCATACACAGTCCACTTTGACTGAAAATAATCTACAAGGAGCCCACTTGTAGCAACAGCCATAAGGAAGAAGAAAACCAAGCCTCGTGTAACGTTTCTAGTTAGGGGCCTTTAAATATGACAGCACCACAAAGCAGCCCCGTGTGATAGATCACAAAAGAGGGACGAGCATTGGGCGTCTTCCTTTTGGACCACCCAGCACTTCTACTGATGGGGTCTTGCTCCAACAGCTCTCTGATGGCCAGAGGATCGGGAACGGTAGGAATCCGTCTTGGTCACCTTCACATGGCTATGAGCAAGCTTCTTCATAGAAACAACCTGAAGGGGAGAAAGATTCTGGTTCACAGTTTCAGAGGGCTTTGGCTCATCGTGGCAGAACAGGCGCGGTGGCAGGTGCAGTGGCAGACATGGACACGCTGGGTGTTGGTTATGTCATGGCTGACCATAACACAGAAGGCAAGGCCAGAACCAAAGGTGGACTATAAGCTTCAGTGAGCTTATAGTGACATTATAGTGAGCTTCAGTGACATTCTTCCACCATGAACGCCACTGGCCTCTGTGACCTTCAGGACTGCAGCCTTCCGACATGGTGCCACCACCTTGGGATCAAGTATCCAAACACAGGAGCCCATGAGGGGTGTTTCACATTCAAGCCACAGTGGATGATCCTGGTCTGTGAGAACAGACCCAGCTAGAATGGCGTCTTAGGACCCTTGAACAAAGCAGCCTCTGCTGTCCAGGCCTGTGGCTGCAGATAGCAAAGTTGTGTCTGGGTTGGCCAGCAGTCTGTGTTTTCACTTGTTCCTAAGCATACAACAAAGCATTGCTCATCTTCGCATTACACCACTGATTTTACAGCACTGTCTCCATATGCCCAGTCAGATCAAAGCTCTGCTGCCAGGAGATGCTTGGGCCAGCTGTCCTTTGCCACAGCAGCCCACCTCATCCCGTCTATCACACTAATGCCTTCTAAATGAACGGCCAATGATTCAGTCCTGTTTAATCTGGACGCTTTCCACTGATTCAGTACTAGCAGTCAGAACCTGGTCCAAATGCATCTCAAATGTAATAGCCTTTCTTCAACATTTAAGCCCTAAAAATTTAAGGGAAGAAACACAAAGATATACCATATGGAATTCTACAGTGAGGTTTTTTTTTTTCTTAGTGTGATATACACACCCCAAAAAACTATCATTCTTAGTAGAAATTTTCCAAGCCTGGCCCTAGTTTTAAGTATGATTTACTTTTCAAATGTTGGAACAGAGCCTCCTCAGCCATTTTCAAGTGGAAATATTTTCTCTCTCCACCTTTAAAAGCCCTTAGGGATTGCTGTACATGTGTGCATGTGTAATCTAAAATGTAGTCACCTTTAAATATGCTTTGCGGGGAGTATTATGAATGGCCCATTTTAGCATGAGTCACATGAGCGAGGAGTGCGCAAACGTGAGTCCTGTTAGCCAGGAGAGGTTACCTGGTTTCTCTCTGCAGAAGCTCTGCCAGCATGCGAGCTCCAGAATAGAAACTCTGAAGATGAAAAAGCACAATAGGGAAGATGGGAATGTTTAATGCTAGCTCTGGGACCCCAGAGCTCTACCTGTCTGGAAGGTGTGGCTCAGTGCCAGCCTTTTAAAATTAAAGGCTGGCTGTGTGGGTTTGAGTTCGCAATCCTTCTTATAATGTACCGCTTTATGCTAATCCAAGTACATTGCCAAAATGTCCAAGATTCCAAGAACATAAAACAGTGGAAACTCTTAGTTGCATGAAGAACAAGTCTGGAGGAATTACATCAATGACCTTGCCAGGGTTCCAAACATAGTCCTCTGTTTCTTAAGGAGGGACATTCTATATCATTGCTGTCAACATGGATCGGTAGTAGCTGGCCAAAAAGCCATGTGCTTTTGGCCCCAAACCACATTCAGACCAATGACTGTCAATCAGCCAGTAGTTACAGTTAACCATTTCCCCAAATCTGCAATACTGGAAAGCATGGAAATCTTAATTTCTAAAAATAATTAGTTTTGAAAGATTCATTGTGCTCATTCAATAAACATTTCCTAGACTCCTGCGTAAGGTGGCACGGGAAAAGGGTGAGTGGAGCTTGTTCATGCAGTCACCTGTAACTTGAGAGAGCCTGGAGGCTTACAGCAGGCCATGCTGTCTGAGAAGCTGTCTCCAGTCCCTGCGGAAAACAGGATTCATGCCTGTGGAAGGACGATGGGAAGACTTTCTAGAGATGTTTATGTAAACAAATCTGTACATGCTAGACGATGAAACTTTTGTTGTGTTTATACTATATTAAAATAATGACCCATTATCAGCAATTTTTGAAAGTTGAGGAAAAGCATTTAAGAAGTTATTAGAAATATTTGTAATTCAGTGGTAAAGCTTAGTGTGCGTGAGGCCCTGGGCTCCATCAGCAGGGAGACAAGGGGAGGGGAGGAAGAGAAACAGCCAGAAGTTTAAGAATACACATAACCCCAGCGCCTGTCAGTACTCATACAAAGTACCAAGTAATGCATACACTCTAGGATTGGGAAGGCCAGAGCATGTGTGTGGGAAATGCACAAATACAGGGAGCACAAAGATACATTTGCATAAAAACTACTATGCAAAAGGGTCCTCATGTTCTTCATCTAATTCTTACTAGAATCAAGAAAGGCACAAACAAGGCCAAGACGTTAAGTAAATTCATCAGGGCCATAAGGCTGCTACAGTGCCCATCCCATCCTCACTGTCGTTGTCTCTCCTAAACTGGGGATATGCACACTCAGAGTGAGTCGTGCTGGCCGACAGATCACTGCTCTGAGCTTTCCATGCCTTAGACAGAAGGATCGTTTCCAGGTTGCCATAATCCAGGCACTGCTCTTTACTGAACTTCCGGGTCACCACCATCCAGGCACTGCTCTTTACTGACTTTTCTTAAGGAGCTGTTTCAGCTTTCATGAATTCTGCATCTGAGGTTGGTGTATCGTAGGGAAGAAGCAGACTTGGCCTTACTGCGAAGAGAAGGTTGACTTGAAGAGGATGCTCAGCAACCCGTATCCTTCTAGTATGCAGTAGCATAAGTATGTTCAGGGATGCGCAGCACCACCTGAACCGCCATTGTCTTTGTGTAGCTGTGGTAGAAAACTTTTGTTGTCCCTAACAACTTATTTCCAGACGACTTCTCTTTGGGTTTTCTGTGCTTTTTTTCCTATTCTGGCTAGGAGATTAAATAACCCAAGACCTTTCCACTCTTTATGGCTCATACTTTCCCGTGTTAAGAGATTTAGTAGAAATGTGTTGGGGCAGTTCAAAAATGGGCACTACATGAGGAAGAATAACAGAGATGATGAATGGATGGATGGACAAATAGTTCAGTTAGATGGGTTTGTGGATATATCACCAATAAATTGAAATTGAAATTTTAAAAGCTGAAACTGTGAACTAGTGTGGAGAGAGCTGTTTTGGGGCTAAACAGATTTTATCTTTACCAGAAATGATTAGATTTCATCTTGTCTTGCATCTTAGCATTTAAATTTTCTTGCTATGCCTTATCTTTTTGGACTAAATTCCAGCAATAATGATACTGAAAGGAAACAAAGATCCACAGACTCAGGGAGCTAACAGCAACAACCAGGACTTTCAAAACAAAACAAACTACAGACACAACAATGCACAACAGAATAAATGCGTATCTCAGTAAGACCACAATAAGTGCCCGGAGTGCTGTCGCGTTCTTGTAATCCCAGCACTTGGGGAGGCAGAGGCAGGCAGATCGCTATGAGTTCAAGACCAGCCTGGTCTACAAAGCGAACACAGGATAGCCAAGACTTGGCCTTACTGCGAAGAGAAGGTTGACTTGAAGAGGATGCTCAGCAACCCGTATCCTTCTAGTATGCAGTAGCATAAGTATGTTCAGGAGACAGAGAAACTCTGTCTCCAAAAACCGAAGCAAACAAAAGATCACAAGAAAGCAACAACCTTCAATGAGAACTAACTAGAAAGACTTCGTCCTCCATAACTCTGTCCCAAGAACATAACATGTTTCTTCTAAGGATCCAAGGGATTCAAGCTATCACCTCTTAAGCAGAGGGCACAGAGAAGGTGCATCAGCCTGCCACAGACGTCTTCTCGTGGGAGGCTGACCTTCTGTACATGCTGACAGCCAGAAATGCCACAGTCCCGAGGAGGCAATGTCCTTCCTCTCCACTCCTCTGTTCCTCACCAGCCCAAAAGCCTGTGGCCCTGTGGTGGCTGTTCCACCTCTGACTGTTACAGACAGCGACTCTTTCAGCCTGGACATGAGAAGAGCCTGCGTCACTGGGTCTTTGGATCTCGGGGTGAAGCTGTGGGTGAGACCAGCTGTGCAGCCTCCTGCTCCACCCACAGGCTTGGCACTTCACTGTTTGCCTGGGGTCCCCTTCCCTTCCTCACCTACTGTTCCTGAAGTTCCTGTCCAATGTGAGGTGACTGTCAGGAAACCAGTTGCCATGTTAAATTAGCCTTTAAACAACAGAGAGGGATCTGTTTCTTCCTATTGCTAGAAAGAACAGACCACTGCGTGCAGCATACGCTCTGTTTATTAAGATTCGTGCAAGGAAACCCTTGTGTGAGAAAGGTGGTCTTCATTGGCAACATGGCCATCAGTGAGACTGTCCATCAGTTAAGCTGTCTTGGCACAGTTTACTAGTGATGCCAAGAAAAAAAATAAAAGGTATGTCCTATGGAATAAACCGGTTCTACTCTTCTTCCTGTCCCGAATCCCCTCTGATGTGTCCACTCTGGGGAGTCCAGAGGTCAGGTTTTGCCCACATAGCTGCAGCTGCTAGATTCCTTGGTTTTCCATAAACGAATTTCTCCTTTCCTTTTCTTCAGCATATACCTTGCCCTTGTCACTGTTTGGTCTTAAGGTGAGTGTTCTCAGCTTATTTTCGGGAATTGGGTGTGACGTAAATAACAATCGTACTGCTGAGGATTTTGTGGATGCTTTAACTTGTATATATACTTATTTTTATTCCTTTTTCAAGAGGCTGTCTCCCAACGGCAGGCTCCAAACTCTCAGGCTCAAGTGTGTCTCCTGCCTCAGCCTCACTAGCCGCTGGGACCACACACATCATGGGGACCAGCATATAAAACTCTTTAAATAGAGCACATTGAATTTACAAGAGGAGTCGCCCCTTTGAGACATGTTAATCATATCCACAAGAGATGTTGATGGGTGTTTCTTCTGCTTGGCCCTTAACTTAGCCTCAGCTGGGAAGGCACACACACGCTCTATGTAAAGATCTCAGACTGGCTTCATTACGTGGTGGCCCGGCTCAGGGCATTAACTGTTTCCTGAAGCTGGGATAGCACCGCAGACTTCCCCACTGTATCGTGTGGTAAAGATATTTTTAAAGCTGTGGTCCTGCGTTCAACATTGGCATTCTGTTTGGATTTTGGAGATGATCCAGAGAGGTCGGGAAGCAAAGTCTGATGCCCTGCCGCTTGCAGTGACTGTAGTTCTGCGGCCAGTTCTGCTCAATGCCTGCAGCTTCTCCTGTCAGAAGTGATGGGTCCCCACTGCAACTTATACTATGCCGCAGTGTTTCCTACAGAGGCCTCTTGGGGCTTTTCAGGGAATCCAACCCAGCTATACATAACCACCTCATCTGTTGTCTTGATTTGTTTTGTTTTCTGGAAACTTGGAGAAAGATATGATCACCAATTACTCCTGCATTCTGCACGTGTAACAAAGCAAGTTTCACATAGACGGACCACATTCTACTGCCAGCTTAGCAAGTATCCAGGCCCCCTTGGATGTGACTACGGCAGCCTCAGTGGCTGATCCTCCTCGGGCTATTTCTCAGGCGAGCCTCCAGATGATGCTCTTCTTAGCGAAAGTTCATTATTTTTATACCATGGAGCCTTCAGTGGATGAGTCTTGGCCTCAAGGTACATTTCTTATTTTCCCAATATAAAGTGTATGCTTTTCTCCTTATTTTACTAATATCTTTAACAGCTGTCATTTTTTTTCTCCTAGCACTTGCTTTGTTCACAGAGCAATATGATCACAATGTTTTCCTTATCACGTTGCAAATTTTTCAAATCTGCTCTGCTTTTCCCTTGTCCTTCTTGCTATGAAGTTGGTTAACCACAGCAAGCAACAAACATTTCTCAGCCTGTATGTTATACTTTCCTGATATTTCCTTCACCAAATAAATTAATCCATTACTTCTGAATTCAGCTATTCAAACTTTCATGACAGAGGCAGACTACAGACCAATTCTTTGCTAGATTATAACAGGAGTGTCACCTCATCCCATTCCTGGTGAATTCATCCAGGAAACCTCAAGGGCCTTGTCTTCACTATGTGTGTTTCTATTGCCATTCTGATCTTCCAAACTCCTAGTGGAATGGCCACTAATCTCTGAGAATAGCATACAAGGACTGGTCTTAAATTCTTCTGTATTCTTCCCACAAACCAATTTCAAAGGCTTACACACCACATGGCAGAAATTGCAAATAATCCACTTCTTGGTACCTTTCCCTTTATCAGTTTCAGAGTTTCTTTTTTGTTTGTTTGTTTTTAAGATTTGTTTATTTTATGTATATGAGTGTTGTGTTTTCATGCACATCAGAAATAATCAGATGCCATTACAGATGGTTGTGAGCCACCATGTTTCTGGGAATTGAGCTCAGGCCCTCGGAAGAGCAGCCAGTGCTCTTAGCTGCTGAGCCATCTCTTCAGCTTTCCAGTTTCAGAGTTTATTATATCAAGGTCCTTGCTCCATTCTGTAGTGAGAATTTTGGTTTCTTTAAAAGCCCAGTTATGTTGGGAATATGTTTTTTTTTTTTTTTTAAATCCCAGGTATTGGATATGCTGCTGCTTGAGACTGTCCACAGCTGCTGACTATGGTTTGTCTCATGCTCTGGCAGGGGCATGATTTTTCCAGCTGAAAATAGTTTATGTTTGGAATTCTGAGGACTCTTGAGAGCCCCAAGAGAGGCCCGCGACAGCTGCTGCTCCCCCTGCTGCTGTTTGCTCCTTTTGCTGGTTGCTGTTTGTTGCTGTTTGCTGGACTGCTGGTTGCTGGTTAGAGATACCCTGATGATGAAGATTGGACTTGCCCCAAGGAGCTCAACACTCCTAATCAGCAGGAATTCGTCTAATGAGATTGATGCCCCCTTTTTCCCCTCTATCCTTCTTTCACTCCTACCTAGTGTTGGGGGTTGGAAGGGATAAGGGTAGGGTAGGGAGATAGGAAAAAGAACCCAATAAAACATCCAAAAACTGTGGCTACACCATTTGGCCAGGGAAAGATACAATGTAGTTATATTCTTCTATGTGTAGATACCCAGTTTTCCTAGCATCTTTTGCTGAGGATTCTGGCTTTTATTCATTGTGTATTAATGAATCTGGGATCTCTACTCTATTCCATTGATTCATGTGCCTGTTTTGATGCTAGTATCATGCGATTGTTATTATTATGGCTCTGTAGTATAATTTGAAGTCAAATGATACTTCTAGCAGTATTCTTTTTACTTAGGATTGCTTTGTCCACCTGGGGTCTTTTGTGAGTCCATATGAAATTTAAGATTTTTTTTCTATTTTTGTGAAGAATAGCATATGAACTTTCATTGGTATCACTTTAAATCTGTGGACTGTTTTTGATAGGGTGGCCATTTTCATAATAGAAATTATTTTGGATCTATAAACATGGTAGATCTTACCTTCTTTTACCTTCAATTTTTTTTCTTCATGTTTTAAAGTTTTTATTATAGAGGTCTTTCAGCTAGTTAAATTTACCCCTAGGTGTTTTCCTGTCAATGGTATTGTTTTCCTGCTTTCTTTTTCAGTATGTCTACCACTGGTTTTTAAAAAGCTACTGATTTCTGTGTGGGTTAATTTTGCAGCCTGCCACTTTGCTGAAAGTAGTTTTCAGTTACATGAGTAATGAAGCTTAAAGATCATTTTAAATCTATCAAACTATGAAAGTGTTTCCATTACTGTTTAAATTATTTAGAAACATATACTGGATCAAGTCAACACAACTCTGGTGAAGATTAAGTCTGTGTTTGGTCTTTCTGGTTCTCCTGGCAATGTGGTGATCACGGTAGGAAATAGAAAAGTAGGAATAAAGTTCATTACTGTCTTGGATTTCTGTGCTTCCTCCTGGTGTGTCCACTTATTTCACAGACTGGCCTATGTTTTCTTCCCAGGAGCTTGTGAAAGAAAGCAGCATTGTATAAGTTCCCACACTAAAGTTTACTACACATTAATGTGCCTCTTCCTTGGGGGCATTTTTCTGTGAACAACAGAGCCACTAATCTCTCTACCAGGGAAATAATAGGAACATACCTACATAGAAACGGTAATATAAAGAATAAATAATTTTCTGTAAAACACTAATATCCGCAGCAAATATCTACAACAGGCTATAACTACACATGAACCCAAAGAGCCCATCTGGATAGGTCTGTTACCTTCTCCCTGAGAATTCTCCTGGCAGCAATGGTGACCAGAGAGTGTGGTTTTCTCATGCTACCACGCCTCACGCCCTCAATAGCCCAGCATGAACAGATCACGCTGCCCATTTTAAGACAGGAAAATATTTTGGGTTATGGTAAGTAACTTGCCCAAAATTTTGGAGTCCCTGACTCTAAAACCCAATTAACCTCATAAACGTAATTTTGGTCAAGAACTGAACAGAGGGCAAAGGAGGTTCATTCCTTTTTGCATGCAGTTCCAAGCACAAGGTAAAAGTTGCTGAGAACCAGTGAAGAACTCTTAGCAAAGAATATTGCGTTAAAATTTGATGCATTATCAAATATTATAAACAATAAAGGCAATGGTGGCTGTCTTCAGATTACTGCATGTGGGTTATTTTGAGTCTTAGGAAACCTCTAGGTATGTAATTATTTTAAAAATCTTTTGCTCAAATGTATATATTTTCAGATAGAAAAAGAAAAGCTTTATAGAATTAGAAACAAGACTTTGCACAGGAGAAAAAACAAGAGAATGTCTGTGGGGGTTAGGAGCCGTGGCCACACAGGGAAATTAACACCTGAAATCCAGTGGCAGTCTGCACAGGACATGGGAGAGTTCCTTCAGTTCCTTTCAAATTAATATTTAATTTATACTCACTCGTTCTGTTCTCAAGGCAAGACAAGATTTACTGTATCTTGTGTAACATCCATTATTTCAAAGAATTATGTCTAGAGTAAGCCATCAAATACTCAGAAAGACAAAGCCGGTTTGCACCAACATGCAGCTGTACGGTATGCGGGAGGAGCTGATGGAGTGGGAGGACACAGTCCTCTCTTTAAGAATAGCAACAAATTTGCCTGCATGCCCCAAATACTGTGACTCCTTGCCCTTGACATCAGCTACACAGAGAATGGCAGCTGAGTAGATTAGGAAATGTTTCCTGTAGCCACCATGCGTGCTTCTGTGCAGAAAGCACACTGACTGGCTACAGGCGCTAAGTCTTCATCTCTATGTACTGTTTCCAGATGTGCTAAGGGACAGCTTATTCAGGTATCAATAATGGAGAGAGACCTTGGCCACCCACAATATAAAGAAAAACAGGGAAACCATTCTCCTGACATCAGATATTTATACAACAGTGTTCAAGATAAAGCTCACGGCTATTAATTATACTTCCCAAATCCTCAGTAGTACAGTTCTGTGATAGTTACATAATTATGTCAGAATAAAGTTTGTTTCAGTTCATGTCACAAAGACCACAGTTAAGGCAAGACAGGAACTGGATAGAAGACCTACGACTTTATTGCAGTTCTCAGATTTGTCCAGAACACTTCCTGCTGAGTGTCATCTAAGGGCCACTCCAGGTAGGTCTTGGTGTTCATTATCTTGCGCAGTTTGCAGAAGCGCTGGGGGATGGCTTTCTTCTCTATGGGCTCCAGCAAAACAAGGATGGTGGCGTCATTGTTCTCTTCGAAGAGCCTGAAGTGGGAGAAGTCCAATTCGTATTTACACCACTCACTCCGCACAAAGTTCTCAGAAAGCACGAACACCGTTTTGTGGCTCTTTTCAATGGAATCAATGATGTTGTCAATGATCCACTTGCCAGGAACAAAGTCTCGCTTGTGGAGACACAGCTTGAAGGGCGGGTCGCCGTTCTCCAGCTGCTGGACCATGAGGTGCTCCACCCAGTGGGAATCCTGCTCGCTGTAGGAAACAAAGGCGTCATAGCAAACATCCCTGCAAGGAGCCCTCTTGGGCTTCCTCTTGGCCTGAAGCCATGCCCACATCATCCGCAGGTACCACAGCCCATGGAAATGGTAGCACAGGCCGCCTATGAGCAGGATCATCAGGAGAAGGGCACAGCAGACACCAGACACCAGTGCA